GGAAGGGTCACCATAAATTGGAGTCAACTTGAAGGCAGACAACAACAACAAACACTGATCAGGCAGCTGATGTGATCTATCGATATCCAATTAATGCATTCTTAGCCAAAAGAGTCCTTTTAGGACCACTTAAAATTGATTTTGGTTTATTTATTATTTAGATAGTTTTACCAATAAACTAAAAAGTCAGGTCCTTGTCCTGAGATGTGTACACCTGAAGCTTAGGGATGGTAAACTGATAAGCAAGAGGAACAATGGACGAATTCTAACAATTGCAATTACATGGAAAACTGCATGGGATCCTCTGTTTTGGCTATGGAGTAACTGATTCTCCGTGGAAGGGAAAGAATGGGTAAGGAGAGGCCTAGGGTCTTCTAAATGGTGGACTACAGTTCCATTACTGGTCACCATTACTGGGAGAAGCTTTGAGTCCCACTTTTGGGAAAAAGGTGGGATACAAATAAAGTAACTGTTTGGTTGTGCAGCTGATAAGAGAGGGATGTGCCTGTCTGCCTATATACCTGCAAAAATTACACTCTACCTCTTATCATAAGGGCTCAGCTGAATGTAGATCTTGATTTGTTTCTCTGGACAACAGTCCAGTTCCACAACCTGGCACCTGGGAGCTGGGTTGAACTACACCTCCCATCATCCCCAGACAGCACTGGATAAAAATGACAGAGGTGACGGTCCAACACATCAGTAGCAGGCGAGATGGGAAAGGGTTGTTGTGCATTTGCACAGCCTTTCACTTCTTTCTGTGGAATTGCTAAAGGAGAATTAGCAATTCCCTTTTGCACTTTGTGGACTTACACAAAAAAAAACTGAGTTCGATTTCACCTTTTTCTTTTAAGAAAATCCTTAGGCACAAAGCATCCTTACATAGGGAAATATCACAGAGGGTGGGAGAGGAAAAGGCAGGTGGACTGGAGAAGTGACTGATTCATTATGCTTTGGTGGGAGAAATATCAAAACCTCTCCAGATGATCAGAATGGTTGGGTTGCATCATGGTTGTTGTCTATATGTCCACATTTTCACTGATGGACATTCAACTGGCAACGGAGATGGTACAATACTAGAAAATAATGCATGGGGGGCAGCTTGTAAGCCGCCTTGGATCCCAATTTGGGAGAAAGGCGGGATAAAAGTGCAATAAATAAATACTATGCATTTGTTGAGCTTTCCAATTCTCTCTGACTTACCTTTCAGATTCCCCTAAAACATTGGGGCTCCCAAAAACACCATGGCATTCCAGAGGAGGTCCTTCTTGCTTTTCCTCTGCCTCCTGATCACCGTTGGCCTGCATCTCTCAAGGGCCCAGCACTGGTCCCACGGATGGTACCCTGGAGGGAAGAGAGAGATAGAGTCCCCAGCAGCAGCACGGAGTCCAGAGGCACGCTGGGTTTGCTCTTTACATTGATATCATTTGTAGCCAAAAGTCTATGAAGGGGAATTTTATTTAGCTCAAATCGAGAAGGGGTCACTACAAGGACCTTGTGAGACCGTCTCCCACATGTATACCAAGAGGCTGAGGGATCTAAGAATTGATGCAGAGACAGTATCCTCAAATTAAAGTATTATTTATTAAAAGGGAAATCACACAGCAATTCACATACATGCACGCACTCATGCAAGGCTCGGGAAATCAGGGGTTAGCTTGGAAAAGATATTGAGACAGAACTACGGTGATACTTACTACAGATTAGGCTTTCTCCAGGATCAAATTGGGTGATGGAAGTTGAGATACAGTCACAGAGAGGATGACTAAGCCGGGCCAAACCAGAGATCAGAATGACATGGAGTCCCCCTGCATCCAGGCTGACATACTGGGGGCAGAAATCTGAGGGTTTTTATAGGCAAAATCTAGCTGCAGGGCAAAGGTGTGAGATTGTATGGTTGAAGTAATCTGGTCTGGCAATATTCAAGAGAAATGGGAATGGATAAAGTTGTTAGCTGGCTCATCAGGTGAGACATTTAGGCCAATATTGGCCATTCTTCTGATTATGGAGGTGATGATGGTCCATTTGCAACTCCCACACTATCTGCCTGGCTCTGGGAATTGAGGATTTTCCAGTCTCTCAAGTGACCAGCTATGGTGGTACTTGGAATTTACTGCAGAGTACATCTGGGGCCATGTGAAATTCATGCAAACACCAAAATTCAGAAAAAATGCACTTTTGGTAACACATTGGCCTAAAGCAGGGTTTGGAAATAGGCCTTGGGGTTCCTGGGGTCCCAGTCCAGACCTTTGGGGCTTCATCAGATGGCCACACCTGCTTAACTGTGACAGCACTCTTTGGAGGTTCCCCATGTTTTGCATGATTTTTCTTTCCCATCTCCAGAGGTGATGGCAATGGCGGTTGCTATCGTTTTCCTCCTCCTCTTTTCCCTGTTAATCCAGGTATCTGAAGACATCAAACTTTGTGATGGAGAAGATTGCACTTACCTGAAGATCCCAAGAGACAAAATTGTGAAGACTCTACTGGTAAGCAATGGGGAGCCATCGCTTTGGTTGGGAACATCTCTAGAAGAGAGATCAGTCTGGATCTTCCCATTTTGGGGTATGCTGCCATTCAGCTGGGCTCAGGGAAGGCAGCTGGTGACAACCAAAATGTAGGGGGCATTGTAGATCTCTGGGAAACACCACAGGGATGTAGCTATGGGTTGGGTGTGTGTCAATGAGGCCAGTGACGCCCCAAATAAGAATTCTGCCCCCATGATTTTTTCCCCTTCAGTCTCCAAATTTCTGCCATTGACATAACTTAAAACTTCAGCCAAACATTTAGAAACACAGTTTGGGCACCCAAAGAACAGGGAAAATCAAAGTGACCAAGGACCCCCCATGGATACCAAAATCCATGGTTACTCAAGTCCCATTAAATACAGTGGCACAGTAAGATGGTGTCCCTTGTACAAAATGGCAAAATCAAGGTCTGCTTTTTGGAATGTATATATATATTTTAAAATATTTTTAGACCGTGAATGCTTGAATCAGTGGATAAAAAAATCTGTGGATACGAAGGGCTGACTGTAATTCATTGAAATATTTGTCTATCAGCTCTCAACCTCCGGGGTAATAGGTAGTTTCATTCATCTCTGATGCCTAAGAGCTTATGTTAGACCACTGTAATAGGATCCAGGCTGTCCCTAGCATTAGACAAAATGTATAATAAGCCTAAATGTCCTGAAGACACCAGATCCTGTCTGATTTCAGATGCTAATGTTTGTCTTTCCAACCTTGGGGTTTAAACCTGAGATAGAGTTGGAAAGGGCCCCACGGGCTGCCGATTCGAATCCTCCACTCAATGCAGGATCCCCCAGTAGAGAGCATCCCTAGCAGGGAGATGGCCAGCCTCTTTCTGAAGGCATTCAGAGAAGGAGACTCCACTTCCTTTCTAAGCAATTGGTCCCATTGCCAAATATCTCGCAAAACTACAAATCCCACAATGCTGAGAACCCCACACACACTAAGAAATAAATTTTGGATTATGGACCCTACATCAGAAGGTAATACAGTCGTCCCTTCTAATTTGTGGACATGTTTTTCGCAACACCAAGGTGTGGAGGGATTAAAATGGCTCGCACACCCGTAGTACACGCATGCAGACATGCACAGGAGCGCGCACCCATTATAACCCATTATAACCCATTATAACCAATGAGCTTTGAATATATACAAATTTCCATTTTCGGGGGGGGCTCCCCGAATGGATCCCCCACGAAAATGGAAGGACAGCTGTATAGAGGCAAGAGGCTATTCTTCAGATATTGGACTATAAGTCCCAGCAACCATAGCGGGCATAGCCAGTAGTGAGGAATGCTGGGACTTCCAAGTCATCTGGAGGGTCCCATTCTGTCTACTCCTCTCCTATGGCATTCTGGGAAAAGGTGATGGCCTATTGATTATGTGCTACTGCCATTTCTTTTAACAGGCTGACATGCTAGCAAGACAACTTCAGAAGAAAAAATGACTCCTCTTTGTGTGGTTTGGGAAATGTTGTGTGTCTAAGGAAAGGACTCGTCTCTTTCCAACTTCATGTGTTCTTTTTGTGTAGACATTATATGCCCAACCAGTTGTGAATGTTTTATGAATATTGTAGTGGCTTCTATTCTTCTCCTCAGCATGTAAACATTACAGCAGCAACAGAAAAAAACTATTTGCCTAGAATGAGGGGATTCTCTGTTTGTGATTGCGGACCTCCAGGATGTTGAATAAAATATTTTATTTTGCTACATACACCGATTTGTATGCATTTGTGTCCTAGGTACATCACTCAGCACACATCACCATTTTTAGCAGAGAAAAGAAGGAAGGAAGGAAGGAAGGAAGGAAGGAAGGAAGGAAGGAAGGAAAGAAAGAAAGAAAGAAAGAAAGAAAGAAAGAAAGAAAGAAAGAAAGAAAGAAAGAAAGAAAGAAAGAAAGAAAGAAAGAAAGAAAGAAAGAAAGAAAGAAAGAAAGAAAGAAAGAAAGAAAGAAAGAAAGAAAGAAAGATTCCAAAACCCACCCTATGGAAATGCTTTCACTAAAATCAGCCAAATATCCTACACAGTTGTGCAAACTTTCAAGTTCTCCAGAACTGCTCCTCTGGTTTGGTGATACCAAAACAGGGGATGGAAGAAGAGAAAGACAAATCCAAACATTTAGCCAGCTGTTGTGGCACTGAGATCAACATGGAGGTTTGCAGACTGAGACTGTTGCCACACTATGGAATTAATGTAGTTTGACACTCCTTTTACTGCCATGGGCCAATGCTATGAAATCCTGGGATTGGTAGTTTGGTGGGGCACCAGAGCTCTCTGACAGAGAAGGCTAAAGATCTCACAAAAACTACAAATCTCATAATTCCTTAGTATTAAACCATGACAGTTAAGGCAGTATCAAACTGAATTCATTCTGCAGTGTAGATGCAGCCCGAGTCTTCTGTGTGGCTCAGAATAGCATAGTAGTTCTTCATGAGGAACTACATTAAGATGGCCATTTATCAACTCCCAGATTTATGCCAGGGAGGTGCAGTGGTTTGAGTACTGGATTACGACTCTGGCTGTCAGGGTTTGATTCCCTGCTTGGCCACGGAAACCCAATGGATAACTGGATAACCTTGGAGAAGTCATGCTTTCTCAGCCCCAGAAACCCCCATGATAGGTTTGCCTTAGGGCAGGGGTCGGCAAATTTTTGTTGCTGGAGGCCGGGGGGGGGAATGGCGCCGGGGGCCGGCACGCGCACGCTTGCCCCCGCGCGCGTGCATGCACATGATGCCTACTGTCGTGCACATGCGTGCCCGTGTGAGGGGCGCCATTTTGGAATGCCTTCCAAAATGGCGACCGCACTCGTGCGTGGCGCAGCGGCGCATGCACAGCAGCAGGACTGGCCATGGGCTTTAAATATATGTACTCGGCCCGCGGGCCGTAGGTTGCTGACCCCTGCCTTAGGGGCTCCATAAGTCGGCATTGATTTGAAGGCACACAGCAGCAAGACTTATGGTAGAGCCACTGCACTCCCCCCATGGCAACTCCATGTCTGGAGAGAGTGCAGAGAAATTGGAAATTGGAGATGTGTCTGGCTATGCTCTGCAGAGAGCTTCCAGAATTTGGGGCTGGAAAATTGGCCTCTGCTCCTGCTCTAGAGCAGCCCTTTCCAACCTGCTGTCCTACGAATATATGTTAGCATCCTGGTCTCATTACCTTCAGGCAGTATATGAACCGTGGTTGTGCTGGCAGTGGATTGCGGAGGACACAAATCTGGAGGGCACCAGGTTGGGGCTGCTCCCAAGGCAATGAATCCTCATATTAATTGGAATATTGCGTTTGGTTCTGGTCACAATTCAGTAAGGATGTTGAGAAGCTGGAGCGTGTCCAGAGGAGGGCGACCAAAATG